GCGTTCGGAAGATTAAATTCCTGCCTGTACAGAACCGGGGTTAGAGAGAGAGAGAGAGAGAGAGAGAGAGAGAGAGGAGGGGGGAAGGGGGGGGAATAGCAAATAAATTACGTTCAATCTCCATCATCGAGAGAGCGAAAGTGGAAGATAGAGCATGATAGGGAGCATGATAGGGAGAATGAAAAAGACAGAAAGAAAGGAAGATGAAGACGGACGGAAAATGGGGCTCTCTGGTCTCGTTTGAGAAACTCGGGGCAGCCCGGAGAGCCAATAATAAGTAAGCCGGTCTCTCGTTAAGGGTTGATTAAAAATACAAAAGAACAGTTCCTCTCTTCTAGTTTTAGGGTTTAGGCTAAGGGGAAATCACGAGTTGTTGATCAGGTCGCGAATGATAACAACCGAACGTAATTGACTGTTTGCTCTTGCTCCGAGCGAGCTCGAGTTGCTCCGCCTGTGGAGAACGTTTTTCGTATTTTTTTTGTCTCCCCTCTCTTTCTCTCTCACTGGATTTCATGCCATGCTAGCCGCCGTGGCGTTTTCGAGCTCTCTCTCGGGTCATAGCGAAGATAAGGCTGGTGTTCGATGAGCTCGAGGAAAAGGCAGCGTCGTAAATAGAGTACTTAATCGAATACGTGTCAGGGAATAGCAGGAGTGCGATCGGGCGAAGAAACGCTGCATCACATTTATGTCGTTGGAACACGGCGCCGGGGGTCGATATAAGAAAAGGCTCGGTATAAAGGACCTTATTACAGAGACGCACTATAAAATTTCGCGGAGACCTGCCTCTGAATTTTTCATACAAAGAACCGACCGGGAGAGAGAGACCGAGTAAATATATATATATATATATATATATATATATTCGCAGAGGCGATGCATTTGCTTGCGCGCATCGGGATTGCATTATTCCAAATCGCGGGAAATGCGAGATTTTAAGTACTCGGAGCGATTCATTTTCAAGCAGCGCGCGCGACCGCGACCGAATTCGCGAAAGAGTGTAGTAGTCCTCTTCGCTCTGGACGCCGCGATATTGTTCGAAAGTTGCGTCAGCTTCACGGATCGTCGTTCAGAAATGATGGTTGCTATTCTGGAGTTAATAGCGCGTAACGCGGTATCATTTAAATCTGGAGAAAGGGACGATGATGTAGGTGACGCGAAGCGTGTGTGTGTATATATATATATATATATATATATATATCTTCTACTCTGCTCTCGCACGCGCTCTCCATTTTCCTACGTTCGTCCCAGATTTATATCGTTCTTAGTGTTCTTCGAACCCCACTTTTCTGTATCCCGTTGCTTCTCTCTATCTCCATCTCTCTCCATCTCTCTCTCTCTCTCTCTCTCTCTCTCTCTCTCTCGCGCCCTCTCTGTTTCTATATTTCATTCAGTTCATGACCTGATTTCGGTATCACGTTTCGTCTCGCGCGCACCGCGTGACATTTCACGCGCACACGGAGATCGATCGTCGAGTATCTTTAACTCGTTCGCATTAAGCGCCCGTTCCACGGCGGTTTTCCTGCCGCGGCGGTGCTCGAGAAAGCCATTAAGATCGCCGCGATACTCGGCGCCTCGCGAGAAATCAGCTTTACCGCCGGTATTTAAAGGGACGCTGATTGTCAATAAAAAAAATCTCGCGCGAGTCATTGAAAAGTTTCACCTCGATAAACGCTTTTTACGCGGGACGGAAATGTCCCTTACGATGTGATCCTCGAACGATACACTTAACGAGAGGACTGCCGGTCTCGCGCGGGAGCGGAACGCTATACGACGATATAAAATCTGCTGTCGTTTGATTATTATTAATCGTCGGCGAGGACAGGCGAGCCCTTCTTGCGAATTATAAAGCTAAAGAGGTTAAACGTGCGCCATACATGCGCGCGCGAGAGGGACAGAGAGACACAGAGGGGGGGAGAGAGAGAGAGAGAGAGAGAGTTCAGTGCCGAGCACTTCTCCGTAAGAGGTTTCCGGGTGACAATATCCCTGTAATCACTTCTATCCAAAATTGGAGTTCTCGAGGCAAGCTACGGCAGCGACGAGAAATATCGCGCCGAGCTATAAGGATTTATAAGAAGACCCCGTCCACAATATTCGCCAACTTTCAGAACGACTTTACTTCTTAATAAGATTCAACGTTCCGAAATGAAATTCGAAGCTGTGTGTGCAGGACGATGAAGGTCGTCGTTTTGCGGCGCGACGCGCGGTGCGCTTTTGCAAACTTCCTCGGCCAAACTTTCGAAGCTTCCTGCGCCTCTTTTTCCCGCCGTATATCCCGGGGCGAACCCCCGGAGGAACGGGGAACGCGTTTCGACGGCGTGGCGCGTCCGCGAAGAAAAAAACGCGTCTCGTTTGTCGTCATTGTTTCCTCCGTCTGGTGGCGACTCTCTCGCGACGCGTCGCGACGCGACGCGACGGTACGTCGCTCGCGTCGGTGCGATAAGCGCTGGAAAAGTTGCGCGAAATTTATTTTCTCTGCCAAGAGCGCGTCGCGCGTTACGAGTCGCGCGAACCAGTCGCGATGTCTCCGTCGATCCCGTCGCAAGGTGTCTATACGTGTTACGAGGGATCCTACCTCTCTTTCTTTCCTCGGATCGACGCTGCCTCACGATTGAATCGCGGAGGAAGGCAACTGTCTGTCGCAATTTCGCCCAGCATTGATACCTATTTATTGCCATCAGACTCCGGCCGAGACTCGACGATTTCGCCGCGCCTTTCTTCGTAGTTTCCTCTCCCCGACGACGACGTTGCATCCGCGCCTTCGACACTGGACCCCAAACTTACCAGCTGTCTCGCGCTCGTGTCACTGTCCTCTCCTTTCCTCTCCTCTCTCTCTCTCTCTCTCTCTCTCTCTCTCTCTCCGTCTGTTTGACTCACCCCCGCTCGCGTACATCAGCCTCTCTGCGTTCGCCGGTCGGAGCTTACTAACTTCGCTCCCTCTATAACTCCCGCGAACTGTTATCACCTCGTTGTGTACAAGGTGTCCTCATTTCCGCGATCGCTCGAGCATTCGTCGCAAGTTGGAACAGAAGCTTCGCCGGCGCTCCGAGACGTGAAATTGATTTCTCTCTCGTGCCGGCAGATTATTATCGACGGACCGCGCAATAATCTCGAGGCTTTATTCGCACTTTGGAATCGGCTGCCGGATCCGAGACCGCCGCCGCCGCCGCCGCCGCCGCCGCCGCCTCTTCCGGCCGCTCCGCGCACCGGGGGGAAATCGCACGGAAAATTTCGTATGAATTTCATCCGCGCTTTAAAACGACTCCGGTGTTCTCGAATTAAAATTTAAGATTTATCTCCGCGTGGTGGTGTCGCGCACGCGAGTAACCAGCCGAACCGAATCCGGGCCGTTGCATAAAGAACGAGCTTTTTTATCCTTGGTCGAGAGGGACCGTAGTAACCGCGACGTTTTCCTGCATTTCTCTCTTTCCTTCTCTCTCTCTCTCTCTCTCTCTCTCTCTCTCTCTCCCCCTCTCTCTCTCTCCCTCTCTCTCTTTTCCTCTCGTTAAACCAGCTGTTCGCGGAAAAGCAGAGGAGTCGTAATTTTTCTTACATGCTACATGAATTTTCTCGAGAGTATTGCCATCGGCAATCGGCCGTGGACTGCGGCCATTGGTCGAGACCGTGAAAATAAAACATCGCCAAGGCGGAGGTGGGCGATCCGGGAGAATCAGAGTTATCGACGTCGTACGACGCGGAAGGAAAATGAATGGAACGAAAGAAACAAGGGGCGGGGGAGCGAGCGAACTCGACGAGGGAAAACGAGCTAGCGAGCGAGCAAGAGAGAGAGAGAGAGAGAGAGAGAGGGAGAGAGAGAGACAGAGGAAAGAAGGCGACAGGGAGGATTCGATAACACCGGGGAGAGGGAAAGAGAGCGGGTGGGAAGTAGAATCGAATGATTCTGGCTGGCTGATCAATTTCATACGCTTGGACCTCCTACAGCGGGCTATCCATCACGTGGCATTTGACCCTTCGTTTCTTCGATTTTTCCTACCTCCAGCTGGTCGACGGCGCACCCCCTAATTCGTAGCTGGCCTCTTTCACCCTTCTCACGCTGTTTTACCCCGTCGGGAGATCACGATATCCCGGCGACGAGAACGGCACGGATCGCTTCCGCCGTCGCCGCGGCGACAAAACGCCTGCAAATTGCTAGTGAGTTACGAAACGCTGATCCTTGCCTCTGCCCCCCCTTCCCTTTCCATCCCCTCGTCGCACCTCCGCCCCCGCCGACGCCACCTCGGCGAATCAAACGAATCACCCTTTGTGCCGGCAACGTCTTTTTTTCTTCCTTTCTCTCTCTCTCTCCCTCTTTCTCTCTCTCTCTCTCTCTCTCTCTCTCGTTTCTGTCATCGATCCTTCTTCATTAGTGTGCCGCGGATTATGGTGTAACTTGCCGGCATACATATTTATATCGGAAAAAGTTGCCGCCGTCGCTGCCGTTGCCGTCGCTGTCGCCGTCGCCGTCGCTGTCTCGCCGTCGTGGTTAATCCTCTTTTGTTAGTTCGAGCTGCCACAGCGTTTTCGACTTTTTAATTTACCGCCACGAGCATTAAAAGCAAAACCGTCGCTGACGAATTAAATGAAATAAAATGAAGGAATGGAAAAGAAACGCGCACGCCCGCACGGCGCGGCGCGAAGATGATCTCGGAAGCTCGGCCGAGCAACGGGAGCAATCGGCGCGGAACAATTAGTCCCTGACGAGTCCTCCAGATCGAGTCGATCATTATGGAAACAACGAGCGCTCGAGCGATTTGTTCCCGTTCGTGCTAGTGCTTGACATCAGAAATCGCAGGAGCCTCCTCTCATTCTCGAGAGAAAGATTTCCCTCCCCCCAGACGCGCGATCCTTCCGCGATGCTTCGAGCCGACGATTAAAATCCACGAGATCTCTCGAAATCGAGAATGTCTCGTTGAAATTGGACGCGTTTCAACCGCGCCCGACCGCGGCGACGGCGCTGTAAACCGAAGGAGTCCGACTTGGATTCAACAGTTAGAGAGAGGCACTTTGACTTTTACAAAAAGATTAGACTCCATCTCACCTTCGACTTCCCGCGACGCCTATTGTGCGTGTAATAATCCGCAGCCTCCCGCGGCGGATCCCGGGCCTCCGTCTCAGCGGCTCGCTCTGAAATCACAGTGAGAGACACGCGGCTCAGTGATATATCCTCAGGACGACGCGATCCACGCTGCAAGTTGTTCGATGTGAAATGTTATAACGCGTTCTCAACGTAGCCGCGCGTAGCCACGCAACGTGCGTAGCATCGGCTGCGCGCGACTCGATGATGCGCGCATTTCCGATGCGCAACGCCCGGAGAGAGAGAGAGAGAGAGAGAGAGAGAGAGAGAGAGAGAGAGAGAGAGCAGGTAGTGACTTTGCGGAGAGAACAGTAGAAGGGCGGGAATAAACACGTTCCCGTGGTAGCGTCGTAACGGGGGTTGGAACACGGGCCACGCGGATTTATCCCCGGGGACATATCCGCGAAGTTACGCCGCACGTGGGAGCGATAGAATGCCGAGCGTACGTGGACGTCGCCTCCGGAAGGAAACCAGTGTATCTTTAATTACAGGGTGTAACGCCGGGATTGAACACGCGCGAAAATATCGGTCACAGTAACAGCCCGCCGTGACGAATCCGTCCTATATCGATTTTCGATTACGGTGCCGATCGGAAAGAATCGCCGCGAAGGGGGAGAGAAAGTGTCCTCCGGAGAAAGCAGGCCCCTTTTTCTGCGCGTTGATCCCGCCTTTCCGGAAAAACACCTCGCTCCTCGCGGGGGAGGGGGGGGGGGAGAGGCGGCTTTCGTAACTTGAAATTAATCGCAGAGAGCAAACGTGGACAGTCTGTATTACCATCTACGATGTTGTAAAAGAGATTTGCATCCGTCCGGTGTGTGCGAGTGAAGTAGTTGCGGTAGTCTGATGAGGTTTCCCAGATCGATACCGGAATGCGCGTCCTCGTGCTCGCGCAATATCCTCGTTTCAGAAATTCGACGGGATGATCAGCTTTCTTAAAGTTTCATTAAAGTTGACATTGTCGAAAGTTTGCCGGGATAGCGTTTCGCGTGAATTATGCGCGCGCGCGCGGTTTCGCCGATAGGAAAATCCTCGGAGAGGAACGAGTTACGAGCCGCAGTTCTCTCTCTCTCTCTCTCTCTCTCTCTCTCTCTCTCTCTCTCTCTCTCTCTCTCTCTCTCTCTCTCTCTGTGTGTTGTTGATATATTATTCAGTTTTAAAGAGATCGTCCTGTTTGAACTACTCTCATGATATTCTATTACGGAAGGTTCCCCCCGTGGGATTCTATCCCGCGGAACTGGAATCGCCGGAGCGTACCTCGTATGCGAGCCGGAGTCGTTACCGCTTATACCGCGGCGCATAATTTCTATTTCCTATTCACATTGGCGAAGCTTGTGTAACATTTACACCAATGGCCTCTCTGAAATATGTCTGCAAGTTGTTCCCGCGAAACCACCATGCAACGAGTCGCAGATAACGATTTTTTCTTCCATATCTGGCACACATCGCGGAGTTTCGTGCGCACTCTTTTGAGAAACTCTCTCATGGAAACTTATCGTCGAGTATGTGTGTGTGTGTGTGTGCGTGCGCGCGCGCGCGCGCGCGACTTGCCCTAAGTTTGGCCGAATTTTATGACAAATTGGATCCTGTGTATTGGTTGTTGCAGACGAGACATGGTCGTTTTTCACAATTCAAATTTCTCGGCTGAGCAGTTCAGCTTCTGTCATGCAACTGTCGTTGCACGCGTGATGTATGAAAAGTATCTGTCACGTACGGATAACTTTTTATCATATTGTTTACATCGTTGGAAATTGCTGTTTCTTCGACATGGAAAGTAAGGGAATGCGGATAATATTCTTGTTGTACAAACTCAAACTTGGCCATAGTGCGGTCGAGGCGAAACATAACTGCTCTTAGGGAAGGTCCTGTAAGTGATCGAACCGCCAACCTTGTTTCCAAAAAGTTTCGGTCTGATGGTACAAACTTCGACAGTTTGCCTTGCGCCATCAGTCGTCGAGGGCAATGTTTTGAAACACATGGTTGGAACAGTTTATCAGTTCGAAATATTACATACAGCATCAACGTTTATTATTCGACTGTTTCCCGATATCTAAAAGCCATGGCGGAGGCGATAAAGCTTGACGAATGGGTGCCGCATCAAACTTCGTCGCATGGGAATCAGTCTTCTTTGAAATTTTCCCTCATCCTCCTCACTCTCCTGACCTGTCTCCGAAAGGTCACCGTTTGTTTAAACGTCTGGATAGGTTTTTGAAGCGAGACAGCATTTCGTACCGAGAGTGACGTGAAAAGTGCGTCCAACGAATTTCTTGCATTTCGCTCTTCCAATTTCCACGTGAAAGGCATACTGATACGCTCGTATCACGTTTGAGCGAAGTGCATTTAGGTGGATGGACACTATTTCGATCGACAAGATGTGTCGAAAAAAGCGTGTCGAATAAAAGTTTAAATTTCAAATTTCAAAACGGCTCTTTCATCCGCAAAAACCTAACGGCGCAAATTGGACAGGATCGGTCGCTCCTTTTAGCCGCAAAATTCATCGTCGTCGTGACGAAAAGAGCGCAGTTAATGCAGTATCGTTTCGCCTGAGGGATAAATCGCAGCTGATCCACGCTTGCAATCTGTTGCAACGGCTAATTATCGCGGAGACATCGAGGCGGCTTAAAGGCTGAGCTAGTTAAAAGAGAAACTCCTAGCGCGCATTGCTGTTAGTCATCCGGTGTAATCTTGCGAATGCGATTTGAATGGAGGATAATCTACTTAAATCTTTTGGTTTTTTCCTGCGGGCGTTACGACCGGTACAATACCGTCGAGGTTCGCCGATATAGCGGATATGTTATTTCATCTGGTCACGATATCCCATTACGAAAGCTTTTTCCGTCGAGTCTTTGTTACGCGCGTGCGGCGCACGTGGCTATACGTGTGTGTGTGTGTGTGTGTGTGTGTGTGTGTGTGTGTGTGTGTGTGTGTGTGCGCGTGCGTGCGTGCGTGTGTGGCAGTCGGTACACCGTATCGTTTTATATCTCGTCGTGCTTTTCCCGTATATTCGTAACATGCTTCACGTAATTGTGCCGCGCTAACAAGACGAGCTCGCTATCGTTCGAAATCTTGCGAGCGCGCAAGGATCGCGGTTTAACCACTTCTAATTTACATTTCGCCAAATTGTCTCGCTCCTCCCGCAGCGGCGTTTCCGCAAGCGTGACTAATCGGGTACAACTTGCGAGCACAAATTGTCGTCCTCGCGACAATTAGGCTACAAGAATACATTGCAGAGACGAGACGTGACGAGAGAGCGGCACGGAGATGGGTACGGAAAATAAGCCGGTTGGACCTCCCCTCCCCCTGACCAAGAGGTGGATGCTCGAGACTGATGAAGTCGCACCTGAATGTCCTGGACGAGAGAGAGAGAGAGAGGCACCGCGCGCCGGAGAGTATCATTTTTGAGACGGCGTCGTACGCGTGTAAATTCGATGTCGCCGGCGACAGAGGCGGAGAGAGAGAGAGAGAGAGAGAGAGAGAGAGAGAGAGAGATGTCCAGGCGGAAATCCACTCTTGCCAGCCCGATACGCCGCGCGTTCGTATAATAAAAAGCCGTTACTTAAAAATGGAAGTAACAAAACGAAAGATAAAACGCCGGAGAAAGATAAGCGGATAGTTGTTCGGAGATTGTGTCGTCATGGAAGTTTCCGCCGGGCTGCGCGCGGCTAGAGAGGAAGAGCAAAAAAAAGAAAAAGAGCGGAAACAAGGAGAGGCAAAGCCCCAGAAAACGGTTGTTTGCGAGGGACGAAAAAGTTCTTATTACCCCGGGGGGCGTAATCGCATTGCGTAATTGGAAAGTATACTCGAGGCAGGGAAATTCGGTGTAACGTTTTATGATGACTTAATCCGCATGGAGATGGGAAGAAGCAATCGCATTATCGCGATGTAATTATATAAATTCCAATTAGGCAAATTGCCGTCGCCGTGCGGCGCACGATTTTCCTCGAGCGCACGCGCGCGCGCGCGAATGTGGAAATTGTTCTCGCCGTGCGTAAAACAGCGACAAGATGATTGGACCGGCGCGAGCCGATACCCGCTGCTGCGCGTCGCCGCTCGCAAATTCATTAACGTTCGCGCCGAGGGGATATCGTGAATTCCTTTCGTTCTCTCGAAATCACCGAGAGACGACCGGAGCCCCACCGTGCGTGGCTCTCCGGATCGCGTCGACCGGGGGTAGCTCTGTGTGACATCGCTCGTAGATAGCAGGTAACCGAGCGAACTAGAAGAAGAGGCGGCGAGCCCAGGGAAGAAGAGGAAAAAACGGAAAAAGCTAGAGGGGAGGAAGGGGGGACGGAGAAGACGGAGACGACGTAGTGAGATCTTTTGGGGGACGATTTGTCTCACCCTTTCTTTCCCTTTTTCCTTTACTTTCCCGCGACCCGCTCTCCATCTCTCCCTCCCTTGGTTCTTCTCTCCCTCTCTCTCTCTCTCTCCCCCTCTCTCTCTCTCTCTCTCTCTCTCTCTCTCTCTCTCTCTCTCTCTCTCTCTCAGGCGCTCTCTGCTCTAGCGGGGTAGTGACTATCGATCCAGCGGGCCCTTCACAGGGTGTGGTTGTGTTGCCCGTCGTCGCGACGCCTCCGTCCCCACTTTGTCCTCTTTCCTCTTTTGTCAGTCAGATCGAAATACGTTCGGCACGTGGCCCGTACTTGGGTGCACGCGCTTTACTTTGCAAAGTCGGCTTGCTTTTGCTGGCTGTTGCTCGTCTATCGGTCTGCTCTCGTCGAACTACCGGCCTTGGGCGGTTCGCGTGACTAGGACACGCGATGGCGAAGTCAGCAGAGAATATTTTACGAAGTACGGCGCCGGGGACTCTCATGGATTGCTACGCGAGTTGCTTTCAGCGACATAAAAGCCGTGACTGGCCGTTGGATCTGTTTGGCTTTCGGCGAATGTTCGGTGAAGGTTCCGATGGCGATACATCCTCGATGATTTTGATGCTGTTATTTAATTAATAGCTTTCGTCGCCTGTGTTGTCAATTTTTCTACTAGTCTCCTCTTCCGTCTGAATCAAACTTTTTCGTCGGTCTTCTGCAGTACGTAAATTAAATTTCAACAGTGATTCGTTTTGTATGTGTGTGTGTGTGTGTGTGTGTGTATATTTTTCTCAACTGAAAATAACATTTTTGAGAATATCAAGCAAATTAACACTGCCTCTATATAACAGATAAAACTGTTGACTCAAGTGCTAACAGCTTAAAAGCTGCGAAATCCAAAAATCTGAATCGTGATCCAGAAGACTCGAGGTGCACGGAAGCCGAGAGAGAGAGAGAGAGAGAGAGAGAGAGAGAGAGAGAGAGAGAGAGAGAGAGAGAGAGAGAGAGAGAGAGAGAGAGAGAGAGAGAGAGATATCTCAGCGCGGAAGGTCCGCGTACATTGCATTGTACGACCTAATATGCGTGCGTATAACTTTACCCGCGGCAAATTAACCGGAACAAACTCGCAGTGAATTATTTGTATAATAACACGGGATTTACTCTCGCGCGGTATTAACGGTATCGCCGTACTTTACACAACGAGACCGCAATCCGGATAATACGGAGCATTGTTTAACTCGCCCAGAAATGTTTCAATTATCGAGCTGCAATTCTGGGAGAGCGTACGCGATGGCGCCGCCGCCGCCGCCGCCGCCGCGGCAGCCCTCGATAAGTGGAGAACGAGAGACGCCCGCGCCGGAGAGGAAAGAAACCGACACGGAGGCAATTCTCGCGGACGGAAATAACCAGCGGCGCTTAAGCCCGTGTACGATCTCGTGCGCTTATAATCGCGAGGTGTTTCGCGCGACTCCGTGACGCTCGCGGAGCTCGCTGAATGTCGCAACGCAACCTCGAGCTAACTCAATCTCAAGAATCTAGCCATTAATTTTCTAGCCTTTCTTTACACGCTCTCTCTCTCCCTCTCTCTCTCTCTCCTCTCTCTCTCTCTGTCTCTGTGTGTGTGTGTGTGCCGGCGGTATTAGAACCCACGCGACAGAGCATATCAACGCAAATATCCCACGTGCATTTGCATGTGTGACGGCGCCTTAACGGAGCGCATTTGCACGCGGACGCACGTAGCCTTTAGCTATGTGTAGAGGTGTCCAATGGAGATTACGGTGTGACATGTTTGGGGAATTTTAGACGAGAGAGAAGAGAGGAAGTTACCGGTGAATATTGAATAAATAGCGAATCGCTAAATACTAAACGCTGCCGCGGAAGTTAACTGGATTACAATGCTATTCGCGCGCGATAATGTGGGCTTGACAGCGCGCCGCATATTATTTCCTACTACTGCTATATTGTTGCTGTTATCATTATTATTATAATTATTATATGGCCGGTTGTGTTGTCATAAATTATATCGTGGTGTCGCATCTATCGGGAAGAAGGGCGAAAGCACACGTCATGTAGAATTTTTGAATGATGCAATTTCATATTGATTAGTAATTACAAAGGATGATGATAATCTGCCGCAATTATTTTCTCAATTATCAAATATGTAAGACATACATTGAGCCGTGATTCCGATATATTTTAACAAGACTAACGCAGGCAACGTTTAACTTTGATAATTCGCGATTATACATACACGCGCGCGCACACACAGACACACACACACACACACACATACACGTACATATTATATACATACAATATTTATACAATATGATTAGCGCGCGTATCACACAAGCGAAAAGGCGCTGCATCGGTCAGAAACCAATATTTTCCATTGATGGAAAATCCTTCCATCCTTCGATAAAAGATGTTTGTTTTTGATCGATGCAATGCCTTATTGTTCGCGTGGTACGCGAACTTAATTAGCTTATACATCTTATATTTGTTGAGATTAGATACGCGTTTGCAAATTACGATCGATAGTGCGGTTTGTAAATTACGGCGAGTCAAAGAGTCGTCAATCAGCCGGGTAAATAGATTGCTGTCAACACGAATTATGAGAAACTTGAATTACACACGATCCCATATCGATCCCGCGAGAGGTTGTTGTTAGCGTTCGGCTTGTAATATGTTGTTTAACGCGACAGTTGACAGGTCGCAACGAAGGTTCCCAGGTTGCGCGCGGGCGCATCAATTTAGCGTATTTGTTACACGGAGGAAATACTTGCGATATCATTTGGCTGGATAAGGTCGCCGCAACAAAATATCGAATGTTATTTTTCGCTCAGCATTGGAAAGGAGACTTTCCACTTTTCTCGACCCATTAGCCGAAAAATGCATCTTCCTTAGCACTGATTTACAAAACAGTGAAAGGAGACACAAGAAAACAAAATTATTAAATTTAACTTTTTTAATTATTATGTATACAGGGTGTCTGGGATCTTTCGGAAACGAAAAATTGTGAAGATTAATCGGATCAAATTGAGAAGAAAAGTCAAATACCATTTTGCAAAAATCGCAATAGTTATTAGGTTATTAATGATTGAGAATGACCACATGTAGAAGTTTTTTAATTGATAACTTGAAAATTTGCAAAATGGTACTTGACTCTTCTTCTCAATTTGATCTGTTTAATCTTCGCAATTTTTCGTTTCCAAAAAATCCCGGACACCTTATGACTATACGTTAAAAAAGTTTTTATATATATATATATATATATATTACATAAATAAGTTTCAAATATAAGAAAAGAATTTAAGAATTTATGCCGTGCACGATCTTTTGAGAGAAACAGATACAATCGAGAAAAGAGCACATCGTCACAACGTATTCAGCACCGCTCCTTGTATTATTAGGTTTGAAAGTCATTAGTCTGTAACAAAGGCCCGACTGTTCTTTAATGCATAAAGTATGAGTAATATTCCTTTTAAATGTTGCTGAGGGAGAGGAGGAGCGAGAAAGAAGATTAATAAGATTCTATTCTTATTGACATCGAATCGACTTATTTATATCGTTCTCTCCGTGCAGCGGCAAAGCGCGTGATCGCCGCTTGAAATCGCATCAACGCTCGCGAGAAACGAGTCCGTCTGTTATTTCGCGAGTTCTCTCAATTCCGCTGTCGAATTTATAAATTATGAATACATGATAAAAGCCAAGTAAAATCGCACGACTCAGTTGACGTTAATAATTTTCGGCCGCGCGACACGCCGGACCGTGTACAGCCTGTGCATAATTACTCGAGGGCGTTGCGTAAATGCTCCATGGGAATTACCGTGACGTACGCGTACAGTTCCGGGAAAAACAACACGGCTCGCCGTCCCGTGACGTTAATATTAGACTGGTTAAATATTAGCCCGGTATGATTACACCCGTGTTTGAGAGCGCGACTACGTCAGGAAACATCATCGCACCGTTTTATTGGGGATTTCATTATGCCCGTAATGGGGGCCTCGTAGAGGGAAGAATTTCTCAGAAACGCATGTGGTTTCACATGCGAGTCGCGCGGCGTCGATTGATCAATGAATGGAGAAAGAGCCGAGCCGCAGTTCTTGTCTTGCAGTAAATGGGGAATTTGCAGAGTTGGCGCGTGCATCGCATTGCGTGTTAATTGCGACGGCACGATACACGGAGTATTAAATAATATTAATAATGTCAAGCAATCACAGCAACTTTTGCCGCTGTCCCAAACTCTCGAGAGGAGATATCCTCCTGAGAATGTTCGCATCCTCGCGAAAATTGGCAAATTGGCACATTAACATCTTATTAGAAATTACTGTGCATTATCGTAGACGTTCCGATCGCGCTTATCCAATCTACTAGCGCAGCGCAGTGAAGGTTTACCCCTCTCTCTCTCTCTCTCTCTCTCTCCCCCTCTCCCTCTCCCTCTCCCTGTCTATAGGCACCCCCGTTTAGATGCCCATCCCCTATTTCAAGCTATCCATAAACCACGATCCGAAATTCCGCAGCGCCGCGGCTTATGCGCAGCGCAGGCTGATATCGTGGCGTCCGCAAAACCGTAAACAGCCCTTAAACGCACCCTTAATCCTCATCCACCGGGGCTTATATTCCCTTCCTCTCGCTGCGTCCACAGGGATTGCCTTTATAAATATCTTAATCTTCCGCTCGCACCGCCGCGCCAACAGGCTGATCGAGCGAGATGGCGCATTTGCGCGAGGCTCTTTCTTGCGAGCGCAAAGATTTCGCTTGCGATTTCGTCCCGACGGCGCGGCGGCGTTCCGCTATTCGGCCTCCGACGGGGCACTTGAGTGCTCCAATTACCGTCTCTTATGCGCACTGCCACATCCACCACCAACATCCAAACAGCGTTTAAATAGCGCTTCGTCCAGCATAAAGATATACCTCGATGGAATTGTGACGAGAAAGACACACGACACACGTGAACGCAACGGATAGAGGCTGGCTGCCGGGCCTATAATTAGCAGAGAGTAATTCTCGCTCAAAATCGCCCTCGTAAAGAGAATAGTCGGCCGATCCTGAGCGATCGTATCTGAGCGAATTCCAGTTTACTCGGGAATCCGCTTCTCGAAATTGCAGACTTGTTGGTTTTCTACATCTCGATTTTCTACCTCCCCCCCCCCCTCCTCCTCCTAATCTACGGAGGACTCCGGAGTTTATTCCGAGTTCCCTAAATTGTCAAGTTTCTCAGTCTACTCCTTCTCCTCCCCCCCCTCTCTGACCCCGAAATGTTCAGCGACGAGTCATTGGAACTCGAAGTTTTTGGCTCTCCGACTGCGCGATCGCGGTCCTCCCTCCCCCTTGGGGCATTTCGCCGGCGAAGATTAGCAAAGAGCGCGCATGCAACGTCGAACGAAAGAGGCGATCCCCGGGCCGTCGTCGGCGCGGCGTAGCGCGTGCGACGCGCGCTATTAAGCGCACCGAGAGGCAAATCCCTTAAGCCAATTTACGTGGCTAACTCGACTCACGATCTTATCCCTCCAACGGCAACGGCGACGGATAATGACGAAAAAATGCGGTAAGTATCAACGGCACCGCCCCCGCCCCCGGCTCGCCGTTCGTCCTGCGACGGTCCTTCCTTCCTTCCTTCCTTCCTTCCTTTCTTTTGTCGTCGCGGCCGACTGTCGTGTGGGTGCTGCCGAGGGTAGCGTTTTCATTCCCCGAGTGACGTAACCTATTAAGAAGGGGAGGAGTGAAAAAAGTGGGCGAGCGAATCTTCGGGCTGCGCGCGGGCTCGATCATCAATCTTCATGGCAGACCGGAAGGTTTTCTAACGCGCTCGTGCTGCGTAAAACGCTTTCCCTGAGAGGGGAAGGGGGAGAGCGTTCTGCGCGCCTGTCGCAGGAGTAGTATCATAATTATCGTCCGAACGGATCGGTGTGAACACGGATGATTCATCGTGGACCATTAGAGCTAGATCGATAGGGGGGGGGGGGAGAGGGGAGAGCGGAGCATTTGAGGAGACGAGGAGACGAAAGGAAAGAGAATCGCGCGACGAAGTGTGTGCCGGGAATTTGTGCCCCACGTGCGTGTATTAAAACGCGCGGAAGATTTCGCGGAGTTACTGCGCGAGACACGAAGTGTAATCTTTAATCAAAGCGTCTCGTTACGCAAGTGAGAATTCCCCGTTTGAAACACATGTGCCACCGCGCGAGGCACCGCGGATCTCTCGGAGCTTCCCCTTCGCTTCGTCATTATGCAACACTAAATTAGCCGTCGTATGTCATCGAGTTTGAAATTCCGAGGCACTGTCGAAGGCGTTCACACACACACACACACACACACACACACACACACACACAGCGCGACATGGAAATGAAACAATACGAATTTCGTACGCGAACGGATGCTCGACGCTCGAATTTGTTGATCAATTTAATAGGGAAAAAGCATTTTTCCCAAGCCCGTGGACGTGGACGCTGAAGAGAGACGTGTTTCGGTCAACTGTAACTGAATCGGAAATGACGACGTTTTTTCGATATACGTGTTACACGTGTGAGCAGCGCGAGAACAACGTTCGGTGTGTCGGAAAGGGAAAAACATTTCCAGGGAAAAGGAAAAGGACGGTACAGCGTACTTATTACGGACGAAGGACGACTTGAAGCTGTCCCAAAAAATATACATCGTCGACCTGTTCATTTTTTCCTTTCGGCTATCTTTTATATAAACAGAACAAGACTTTTTAACATTTACTACATTTCCACACACTCACGCGCTCGTGCAAACATTGAATCACGCTTTATATTTGGCGCACGTTAGCTGCGCTATATTGTAGCGTTAAGTATCGCGAAAGACGAAGCGGGGGGGGAGAGAGGGAGAGAGAGAGAGAGAGAGAGAGAGAGAGAGAGAGAGAGAGAGAGAGAGAGACAGAGAGACAAGAAGCTGCGGGCGTAGGTGGGGCTAATCTTGAAGGACCTAAGTAAACCGCTTCTAATGGATCCTGTCACTGGGCTTCAGGTTGCCCGCGTTTTGTGTACTTCACTTTGGCGCACCGCACAGTGACGTTAGTAATGGGAGAATCGAGTGTGAAGCTCGACAAAGTGCGATAATCGGCGAAACAACCGCGGCGGCGGTCGCGAGATTATCGCAAAGAACCACCGCCAGACACTGGAGCGACATTGTTGAGTGAGAACCTCTTCCCGATCTGCTTTGGATCTGCTTGCTTTTTTTTTCTCGCTCTAACCTTTACACGCCACTGCACGATCGCGCGTTCGTTTTTTTACGAACGCAAGAACATTAGCGCGCTGCTTGTCCCATACGCCTCTGCAGAGCGTCTTCGAACTTACAGCGCAACTCGAAAGCTCGCTTGTGCACGGGGATGCACAAGTATCGCGGCAAAAGCGACGAGCACGTGCTGTGCATCAGGAAAAGCGCGCATGGCAATCAAAGTTTGTCTAAAGTTACGGAAACTGAGAACGCGTCGCGCGCGCGCGTCCAAACTCCGCGTGTTTTCGAAGCTTCGTTCCCTCTCGCGGTGGCATCCGTCCTCAAGGATTTAACGCTCGCCCGCTCAGAATCCGCAGGAATTTTCGGCTGACACAAAGCGCAGTGACACTGATGGCGCGTACAACGAACCGGCTGCTGTATAACGGATTGTGAATTAGTGAAGCGGGAAACGTATCAATTCTCCCGCCTGTGTGTGTGTGTGTGTGTGTGTGCGTTTTCCCGTTTTCGACAGTTACATTGTCACGGAGACAGCATTGGGCGCAAAAGGATCCGAAGGCGAAACAGCGAAAAACGGCCGAGACATCGGCAGCATTAATCCGCATTTTGAAACCGTATGCGAGACTCGCGCAACTCGCCCGACAATTCCTCGGCTCTTCCCACGCGCGCGCGCGCGCGCGCGCACGACCCCCGGACTTTTTTCATAAATATTTATGATGGCAGCGTTGGATGATGGGTGCGAGAGAGAGAGAGAGAGAGAGAGAGACGCGTATCCATCGTCTGGTTTCACAAGCAGTCGGCGGCTTCGACGTCCTCCTCGTCGGTCTCTCGAACGACTGCCTGTAGCTAGAATTCTCATCAACAAACTTCCCCGTCGCCGAATTACCGTCGATCTTAATAAGGCCCCATCCCCATTGACACAAGGTAGGCAAAGGCATCCGGGGCGTGGCTGTAGGAGCGGTGCCTCGAGGTGGCTTGCTTCGGTAAAGGCATCGGCGGCGTCATGCCTCTTCGACGATTCATTTCACCGTCGCGACCCTTTGTGAAACGGCCCGTTATTGACACCCCCTCCTCCCCTCGCCCCGTCTTCTCTCTCTCTCTCTCTCTTCGCTCACCCCCTGCTCTCTTGCTCGCTGGCCCTCGACGCGGCCGTCCCACGACGTGAGGCGGCATATATATCGCGCACATATCTTGAACTTGGATCCCCGGGATGACGGGTGCAGATATATTCGATCGCGGATAAGGAATTCTATCGTTCCCTAATCCCATTCGGCCCGGGTATTAACCCTCGACGGCAGCGGACGCCTTTCTCCGAGGCGAGCCCCGAGCAGCCGGTCGTATGAATTCGCTCGTTTGCATTTGCGCGGCCGATAGGCCGCATATTCGCTTGCAAAAGTGAGCGATTTCGCGAGGGTGAGTATCGTGGCGAGTGCGCGACGTTTCTGACACAAAGGGGCAGCGTCGTCTCCCCTTTTCTCGCTCTCGTCTCGTGTCGTCAACGAGAGACACAATTCTCTCTCTCTCTCTCTCTCTCTCTCTCTCTCTCTCTCTCTCTCTCGAGTATCCCGTTCTAATTCCGTCCGTGCGCCGTTCTAATTTTTGCGCGAGCGCACGTCTAACAGGTGACTAGAGAGAGCCCCGCACAGGCGTGACTTGAAAAATATCGAGATAATTAGAAGCGAGCGCGGAGAAGCGTCGCGGCGCCGTTCGCAGCACATTTTTCCGCGGTGACAACCTGCCATACTCGGCACAGCCGTACTCGACCGAACCGTAAATAACGGCTCTCGACGCTGCTACTATTCATCGTTTACGCCGTCATGCCCCCCCCCCCTCTCTCTCTCTCTCTCTCTCTCGCGGCGTCATCGAGCCACGGCCGGCCGAGAAGCGAAATTTTCCCGTCGATATAGCACTGCGAAGCAGCCTAATGGCGTCGTGGCGGTTGAACGCAAGTGCAACGATTTCATCGGGAGGACAAGCGTGGCTGGCTGGCTGGCTGGCTGGCTGGCAGGGTGGCTAGACAGGGTAGGGCGAGGGGCCGGGTCGACGAGGGGTAACGCGGAAACCGAAGGACGAGGAGTCGAGGGACAGGGGGATGGCGGCTTGAAGATATACAGCGCACGGTCGTCTCCGATCGAGCTATCAAATTGTCGCAGTGCGGTAGTGGTGTAGGCAGAGGTTTAGTCAGCCGGTCGGCCAGCCTGACTAGGTGCGGGGCGCGTCTACTGTCAGCAGCGCGGAAAGAGCGAAAGAGAGCGAACATCGAAAGGGGGTGGTTGATGGGGACGCGAGGGAGGGTAACGTGAGTGGCTACCAGAGAATCGTCGCTTACGATCGCAGCTTGTTTCCGTCGATCTTCCTCTCTTCGACGGCATTCCACGGCTCTCTCTGACAATTCATCCGCTCTCTCTCTCTCTCTCTCTCTCTCTCTCTCTCTCTCTCTCTCTCTCTCTCTCTCTCTCTCTCTCGCTCCTCCCCTCTCCCCCCTCTCTCTCTCTCTCTCTCTCTCTCTTTCTCTTCCTCTCTCGTCGTTTCCGTTACCGCACCCTGTCCGCTCTCTCCTCCGCGTCTCCTTCGCCACTTCCATCTCTTTCCACGCCCCAGGTACTGCCTGCACGAGTCTGCCTCCTTCTTGTCCTCCATTCCCGTCGCTCTTTCCTCCAATCTCCACTCTATTCCTCTCCTCTCGAGCCTCTCCACTCGACTCCCAAATACTGCAATTTCAGCCTTGTCGCCACTACGGCACTTCAACTACGAAATGATAAATTCCTAGCCCGTCTGCCCTGCCTCTGGTCCCGTCGTCCCTGTCCCTCCTCCGTCGCGACTCCTCGTCCCTCGTGGCCGCGCTGCGCGCGCGCGCGCGCGCGCGCGCGCGCCGCGTCGTCCCCGTTTTGTCGGCAACCACTTCGTGTTTCTAGCGTGGTTAATCTCGTTCGCTCAATCGACTCGATTGACTAAATTACTGCCTTCATAACGACGTTCTGTGCGCGCTTCTGTTGCCTCGGGACGAGAGGCCGCTATTGTCACACGATGATCGAATTGCACGTAAGCTTTTTGTCGTTTCCGGAACTAGCGACGCGGTAAACAACACGACGAACCCCCCTCGGCCTTTGACGCGAGACCGCTTCATCCGTGTAGAAACCTCTTTCGCTCGCGTGTCGCACGTGTACGACTATATACGGCAACGATTTCCCAGCCGTTGAAAAAGGCGAGACTCTGCCTTTCGACATGGCTGGGTATGCTTTGTGACAACGAACGCGTTACTTCGCAACCAGAACCAACCTCGCGAGTACTCGCGATAGACACGAACCGCGCGCTTTGTGAAGGAAGAAAAATTAAAAAAAGGAGGAAAGGTGGAGGGGCGGGGGGCAGAGGGGAGAGACTCGCTCAGTACCTTTAGGGAAGATATACGCAAACTGCCGAAACTTTGATCTCCTCTGGCCTCCTCCCGTGCTTGTTCGACGAGTTTAATCGGCGGGCTCGCTAGCTCGATAGGCGAATCGAGGTTAAACG